CAGCCCCCTCCCATCACAGGCTCCGCCCCTGCCCCCTTCGATCGCCAGCTCCGCCCCTCAGCCCCCCTCCCTGCCTCCTCCGCCACCTGCCTGGCCAACAGGCCTGGACACTTCAGCTGCGGGGCTGAGGGGAATGAGCACCACCATCTTGTGGCTATGGGCGCTGCCATCTTTTGTGACGGCGTGACAGTTAATTTGCGTATTACTCTTTTATTAGATAGGATGAGATCATGTCATCTGAAAATAGAGATAGTTTTACTTCTTCCGTTCCAATTTGGATGTATTTTATTTCTTTTTCTTTCCTTATTATTCTGGCTAGAACTTCCCTTACAACCTTGAATAGAAGCAGTGAAGGCAAACATTGTTGTCTTGTTCTGATGTTAGGGGAAAAGTTTTTATCTTCCACCACTGAGTATGACATTAGCTTTAGGTATTTTCTAAATGCCCTTTATTATGTTGTGGAAATTTATGTTGTTGGATTTTGTTGATTTTTTTTTCTGCAACTGAGATGGTCATATGGGTTTTTATTTTTAGTTCACTAATGTGATATTGATTCTCACTCCCCACCCACTGTCCTCATCCATAGGTGCACGATTTTTGTCCAGTTTCTTCCCGCATCTCCCATTCCCCTTTCCCCCCCAAGAATAGTCAGTCCATTCCCTTTCTATGTCCCTGATTCATTATAATCACCAGTTCATTCTGTACATCAGATTATTTATTCACTTGATTCTTAGATTCACTTGTTGATAGATGCATGTTTGTTGTTCACAATTTGTATCTTTACCTTTTTCTTCTTCCTCTTCTTAAAGGATACCTTTCAGCATTTCGTATAATACTGGTTTAGTGGTGATGAACTCCTTTAGCTTTTCCTTATCTGTGAAGCTCTTTATCTGACCTTCAATTCTGAATGATAGCTTTGCTGGATAAAGTAATCTTGGTTGTAGGTTCTTGGTATTCATCACTTTGAATATTTCTTGCCATTCCCTTCTGGCCTGCAAAGTTTCTGTTGAGAAATCAGCTGACAGTCGTATGGGTATTCCCTTGTAGGTAATTGAGTCTCTTTCTCTTGCTGCTTTTAAGATTCTCTCTTTGTCTTTTGCTCTTGGCATTTTAATTATGATGTGTCTTGGTGTGGTCCTCTTTGGATTCCTTTTGTTTGGGGTTCTCTGCGCTTCTTGGACCTGTAAGTCCATTTCTTTCACCAGGTGGGGGAAGTTTTCTGCCATTATTTCTTCAAATAGGTTTTCAATATCTTGCTGTCTCTCATCTTCTGGCACCCCTATTATTCTGATGTTTGTACGCTTGAAGCTGTCCCAGAGGCTCCTTACACTATCTTCGTATTTTCGGATTCTTTTTTCATTTTGCTTTTCCGGTTGGGTGTTTTTTGCTTCTTCGCATTTCAAATCTTTGGCTTGATTCTTGCGCTCCTCTGGTCTGCTATTGGGTGTAATATTCTTTATTTCAGAGCGTGTATGCTTAATTTCTAGTTTCTTTATCATAGCATCGAGGGTCTCATTAGTTTTCGTGAGGCTCTCCAGAAGTTTATTGCAAGCCCTCAAAATTGCGTTTTTTAGCTCTATATCCTCCATTTCTGTCATGTTTTTTTGTCTCCGCATTTTTTATGCTTTCTTGGTGCACCCCCTAGTGGTCTTTGTGCGCAGTCTTGTTCTAGTTGAGCCTTGATTGTTGTAGTTAATACTAGAGGGATTTGACCACCAGGCCGACTGGCTGTGTGAATCAGCTGTGTCTGCCGCGGAAAACTTCTGTCCTCTGGGGAGGTGCTAATCTAGCCTTTGCCTGAGGCTATCCGGCAAATGGCTCTGCGCAGGGCTTGGGCGGGGCGGGCTCAACAGGGCGGGCGGAGGGAGCCGTTATGGTGCCCTCAGTCCTGTTCCCAGAGGCTCTGCTTCTCAGAACCCCCGGAACCGCTGCAAACCTCGGAGGGAAAGCTGCCTTCCAACTGATGCCAGACACTCCCGCTTCTCCCGTTTGGGTCCGAGTCCCCAGCGATTCGCCCGTATCTGGAGCTCAGAGTCTGAGACTCCCCCCTGACCGAAAACGACAACCGCGCTCTCAGCCACCAGCCCGCTTTGCGCGCGCACCTCCGCACCTGAGTTTTTTCCACACTGCGCCTCCTCTGAGCCTCGGTGTGCTGTTATTTTTCCTTCTAGTTGAAGAGTCTCTCCTCAGCCAGCCTTCCTGTGGTTCTGGGTGATGTCCGTTCCGTCTTTTAGTTGTATTTTTGAAGTGGTTGTTTGCGGCAGCAGTCTGCGGTGTTTACCTATGCCGCCATCTTGGTCTCTCCTAATCACTTTTCTTATGTTGAACCACCCACCATTGCATTCCTGTGATAATTCTACCTGGACATGGAATGGAATGTTTATACTATACTCTTGGATTCATTTTGCTATAATTCTTATGAGGATTTTGCATCCATATTGGTAAAGAATATTGGTCTGTAATTTTCTTTCTTGTGGTATATATATCAGGATTTGGTGTCAAGGTAATGCTAGCCTTGTAGGATAAGTTGGGAAGTTTTCTCTCCTTTTCTATCTTTTGGAAGAGTTTGGAAAAGATTGGCATTAGTCTT